TTTGACAGAGCTTGAAGAATAAATGGGCAAATGTTGCACAATCCAGGTGTGGAAAGCTCTTAAGAGACTTAACCAGAAACACTCAGAGCTTTAAATCGCTGCCAAAGGTGCTTCTACAAAATATTGACTCAGGGCTGTGAATACTTATGTAAATGAGATATTTCATTTTTTATAAATTAGCAAACATTTCTAAAAACATGTTTTCACTTTGTCATTACGGGATATTGTGTGTTGATGGGTGTCACGTCTACTCCCGCTCCGGCGCTCAATGTCACCGGTCTACTAATCACCAGTTCTGGCAACCCATCTTTACCCGCACCTGGCAACCATCATTACACACACCTGCGTCTCATCAGTCACACCTGGACTTCATTACTCCATTGATTACTTATCCTTTATATAACACTATTTTGTTATCAGTCATCAGCTAGTATTGTTTGTTTCTATGTCAGATGCTTCTCTTTTTTTGTATTGGTCCATGTTTGTTATTATTAAACTCACTAACTGCATCCTGACTCCCTGCGTCTACATTACAATGGGTGATTTTGGGTGTTTTTTTTATTTATATAATCCATTTTGAATTCAGACTGTAACAACAAAGTCAACCGGTATGAATATTTTCTGAAGGCACTGTATAAGTGACTTTGTTGTGCTTCACAATCAATTTTACATACTTTCAGGTGCTTTGGACATGATGTGTGGGGAAAAAAAAAGAATGCTAATATCGGGTCCATGACTTGAATGGGATTTGTGCCACAAATTCTAAAACGTTAGCATTTGGAAACCGTGCCAGGGAAATAAAAACGCATGGATTGCTGTCATACTTTGTCCATAGATTGCTTACCGGGTAAGGAAACCAATGTGTAATTTTGGGGAATTATCCCTTTAATTTAGTCCAAGAAGTGAGAGATGAGAGGAACATCAAGGCTGGTATTCGAATCCAAACAATAGGCTCAAAAGACGATTTAATGCCTACATACTTACGCAAAAAAACGGTTCTGGTCAAGATGTTAACAAATCACAACAGGAACAGTAGCTAGCTAGCGAAACACAAGAGTCATTGTCTGTTCTTTTGAGTTTTGAAGTTGAGTCTTTGCCTGACAAAGTGAAGTTAGGATATATAAGTTATCCTGTACGAGCTTATGTGCCGAATACATTACGATGTTACAAGTGTCAAACTTATGGGCATGTGTCAGCAGGGTGTAGGAGGGAGGTTCCAAGGTGTGAGAAGTGTGCAGAAGGGCATGAGACAAAGGAATGTGTAGCATTGGGGAAAGTAGTGGTATGTGCTAATTGTAGGGGTGCCCATGGGGCTGGGGATCAGAAATGTCCCATGCGAGAGAGGCAGGTTGAGGTTTCCAGGGTAAAAGTAGTGAAGAAGTTGTCATATGCTGAGGCAGTTAATAAAGTAGAGGAAGATGGGTCAAGGGGAAGGAGTGGTGAGAGTAGTAGATATGTACCAGTACAGAGGGATAGGTCAACAACTGATAACCAGGTGGCGAATCGCATCTCTGCATGTCTGGCAGACATATCAGTATGGATGACGGATCACCACCTCAAGCTGAACCCTGGCAAGACGGAGCTGCTCTTCCTCCCGGGGAAGGACTGCCCGTTCCATGATCTCGCCATCACGGTTGACAACTCCGCTGTGTCCTCCTCCCAGAGTGCGAAGAGCCTAGGCGTGACCCTGGACAACACCCTGTCGTTCTCCGCCAACATCAAGGCGGTGACCCGCTCCTGCAGGTTCATGCTCTACAACATTCGGAGACTACGACCCTGCCTTACACAGGAAGCGGCACAGGTCCTAATCCAGGCACTTGTCATCTCCCGTCTGGACTACTGCAACTCGCTGTTGGCTGGCCTCCCTGCCTGTGCCATTAAACCCCTACAACTCATCCAGAATGCCGCAGCCCGTCTGGTGTTCAACCTTCCCAAGTTCTCTCACGTCACCCCCCCTCCTCCGCACACTCCACTGGCTTCCAGTTGAAGCTCGCATCCGCTACAAGACCATGGTGCTTGCCTATGGAGCAGTGAGGGGAACGGCACCTCTGTACCTTCGGGCTCTGATCAGTCCCTACACCCAAACGAGGGCATTGCGCTCATCCACCTCTGGCCTGCTGGCTCCCCTTCCTCTGCGGAAGCACAGCTCCCGCTCAGCCCAGTCAAAACTGTTCGCTGCTCTGGCACCCCAATGGTGGAACAAGCTCCCTCACGACGCCAGGACAGCGGAGTCACTCACCACCTTCCGGAGACATTTGAAACCCCACCTCTTTAAGGATTACCTGGGATAGGATAAAGTAATCCTTCTACCCCCCCCCCCCCCCCAAAAAAAAAATGTGTAAAGTGGTTATCCCACTGGCTATAGGGTGAACGCACCAATTGGTGAGTCGTTCTGGATAAGAGCGTCTGCTAAATGACGTAAATGTGCCCTTGAGCAAGGCACTTAACCCTAATTGCTCCTGTAAGTCGCTCTGGTTAAGAGCGTCTGCTAAATGACTAAAATGTAAATGTAAATGTAAACTGATATATTTTTCAGTAAGATTGGATTTTTAGCATTTATAGCAATGGTTATTAATTGTACTGCAGGGATGGAACGTAAGTCTAAGAAAATTGAGGTTGTGGTGGCAGCTGCATAGAGGTATCTGGGTGTGCGAGACTTGACATCAGAAGAGTTACAGGGAGTGTTAAGTGGTGATGTCCCATCATTTCAGGTTGAAGGCATGAGGTAGGAATGAATATATTTAAATAGTGGAGTGGGTGGTGTTAATGATTAATAATAATTTTGAATTTGTGAGTGTAGTGTTAGATGGTAGGGTATTTCTTTATTTTATTTTTCAAGCAAAATATAAGGGAGTTGTACACCAGTCTAGTAGGTGGCATTGGATACCAACCGCCGTTAAACCACTATCAGTCACCATTAATCAATACAACTGCATATTTTCCTCATACTTTCCCTCATTTTTTTTTTTTTTTTGAAGTTTTATTTTAAAAAATCAGCATGATTTCAGGAAAATAAAATCTTTAAGATTCCAGCAACACGAAGGTAGCACCTCAGTGGAGCATTGCTGTGTGCCACAATGTGTGGCAACGGTGAATTTCAATTCTGTGTTGAGCTTCCACACATTCCCCATGTTAGAAGTTAGAAGAGATGGATTGTAAATATTCGACTTGACAAGTTCACTGTAACAAATCACACCGGGGTCTGCATCCGTCCTTTCCTAGCTGAGGACTTGATTGAGCCTTCGACCAGCACCGGGCGCAGAAGATTAAATATTAATAAGTTGTATCCTGTTTGCAATGTAAAATAGCTTGCTACCTACGTTAGCTAGCTAAAGTATCTAGCTAACCACCTTAAAAGTTGTCAATGTAGCTCGACACACATTTTTTTTTTAAACCGTTTTGTTTCTTGCACATAGGGGTAACAGAAAAAGCCTTAATTTGATTAACATCGTTCAGTCATTTGCGGGAGATCTAGCAGACAGCAGGTGTAAAGTGCCAAACCGGTACCTAGCTTGATGTTAACGTAGCAATGGAAGTTGACCGGCTGGCTGAGTAGAATGCATAACTACAGTGTCATAACGCGTCGCTAGAGCCAATTAATTGAATAATATAGGCTAAGACTATTAGGTTGAATACTTTGACTCTGGGTGTGTTAGTTTTGTGAATAATTCACATGAAACTTTCACTTTAATGGTCAGCAACTAGAGAGATAGTGACCACTGACCAGAGTTTTACATTTCCCAAGTTTATTGCACATATCAGCAGGGATGTAGTGCTGCCATAGTGCAGGGGAGGGGCGCTCCCTCACTTTATTCAATTTGAGAATACACGCTGCTGGTAAAATATATTTCTGGAAAATGAATAATGATACATTCTCAAATTCTATTTAATTACCACAAAAATTCCATGAAAACGATAGAATGACAAACTAAATAAATATGTAGGGCAATAGCAGCCCATAGGCAGGTAAATGTGGTTTCTTCCCCATCTTCTCCCTCTGGCGGAGCGCGAATGATGAATAACTGTAGTGTGTGCAGAGGCCCATAGGTAGGAGGATTTACCACTTTGAGCGGGCCAAATCCGACATAACAAGAACTGCCACAGACAGAACTCCAGGGGTTGCTAAAACACCAAAGAGATCTAGGATCCAAATTCACCACGTGTATGCCTTGATGTTCATATAACTCTTGTGCAGTGGAACCCAGAACCATATGTGACCACTTGGTTATGGTGCCGTCCTTTCAGCACCACGATTTGAAGGGTACTCAAATTGCTTAAAATAACCTACGCCTAATAGTCCTATTCATCACTTATTATTATTACAAATAGAAGATTATAACTTCTCACAATGGTGCTTGTTTAGTAAAGTTGGATCAAAGCTCAATCAAATCAATGTCTTGCAAGATCACAATGAATAATTAGTATTTAACAGAACCTAATATAATAGTATATAGGCATACTGTAGCATAGTAGGCCTATATGTAACACCAAAAACACCTCAATCATTTCTTAATTCTACCTGAATAGTAGCCGTTTAAAAACTATTCCTGGGCCGCAAATGGCCCGCATGGCGTAGTATGGACAACTATTTTTGTGGTATGGATGCCACATGCTTTCACCTCAGTCCAATCGGGCTCTCTATAGTAGCATATGCAGAGTTTACACCAACCAAATATTCATTTTCCAGCCTTCTTTTCCACCCCATATATGGATGAGTCCCAATCATAAAATGTCTCCCCTCATCAAATCCCCTCCCACTCCCTTATCTACCACTATCGAATTGAAACCGGCAAACATGCCTGCAAGTTGTGTCAGAGGCTTGGAAGCCAATGGAAAACAACCTCGCGAGTTTAAAAGTCCGTAGAGCAAACCAACGGTGATATGGGGGAGTGAGGCTTGGGTTATATATAGTTTTTCAGTTCATATTAGCATAAATCCCTGATGTCAATAGAAATGTTTGTCATACATGCACTAAACGTTGACGTATTATTTTAGGAGAAGAACGTTTTACTTTGTTTCCCTATTAATCATGTTGGTATCTCCCCATGTCAAAGTTGACGTGCATACGGTCATGTCTTTCTTTGTTACTTGCTACGTGCTAGCAAGTCCAAAGGGAAAGTGATAGAGTACAATCGTTTTCAAGAAGAAAAAAAAACATTCAACCATATCTGTAAGAGGTATGTATGCATTTGATCAATTACATACGATTCGTATCCATTGGACAGCGAACCAGCTCATTGCTAGTTTGCAAAGGTAGCAAGTCATTCATCCATGCTATTTAGCGCAATAGCTAGCTAAGCTAGTTAACGTTAGCTAGCGAATATAGCTATGCATGCTAGGTATCGATCTATCTTGGCTATCCATAATCGATTAGATTTTGATTGAAAGTACACTATAGACGAAGTCGGGGTAGAATGTGTGTTGGTGTTTACTTTGTTGACAAACCAGCTACTAAAGCGCACTAGTTTAGCACTATGGATCATTTTGACTTTCCTCCCTGACACTGTTGCTAGCTAACGTAGCTAATTCAGAAAGCCAGACATTGACAATGAACAGGAAATGTGCTATATCCAAATCAGAATAATAATGTGTCCTCAACATGAATATTGATCGAACGAACAAAGTAAATCCACCATAAAGATGGAAGAAAACGGTGTATGGAGCACTGCCTGTCCACTCAGAATATCTTCAACAGTGTTGAGTTCTTATCCCGTCAAAAAGAAGCCCAGGAGGACGCCGATTGAACGAAATCCCCCCCTGAATGGCCAAATGTTATGAATCTGAAATAACAGCATGTTTTGTTTTGATTGCATTTATTCATTGTGAAACCTACATCTATGAAATCCTATAACCTAATGCATTGAATTGAGTTATTCACAGAATTACCGTTGTCTTTACTTGCACGCCTAACTGATTGTGCATCTTATGATCTGAGATCCAATCACACACAGACGCATATATACACTATATATACATATGTACATACAGTTGAAGTCGGAAGTTTACATACACTTAGGTTGGAGTCATTAAAACTCGTTTTTCATCCACTCCACAAATGTCTTGTTAACAAACTATAGTTTTGGCAAGTCGGTTAGGACATCTACTTTGTGCATGACACAAGTCATTTTTCCAAAAATTGTTTACAGACAGATTATTTCACTTATAATTCACTTTATCAGAATTCCAGTGGGTCAGAAGTTTACACACACTAAGTTGACTGTGCCTTTAAACAGCTTGGACAATTCCAGAAAATGATGTCATGGCTTTAGAAGCTTCTGATAGGCTAATTGACATCATTTGAGTCAATTGGAGGTGTACCTGTGGATGTATTTCAAGGCCTATCTTCAAACTCAGTGCCTCTTTGCCTGACATCATGGGAAAATCAAAAGAAATCAGCCAAGACCTCAGAATCTTTTTTGCAGACCTCCACAAGTCTGGTTCATCCTTGGGAGCAATTTCCAAACGCCTGAAGGTACCACGTTCATCTGTACAAACAATACTACGCAAGTATAAACACCATGGGACCACGCAGCCGTCATACCACTCAGGAAGGAGAAGCATTCTGTCTCCTAGAGATGAATGTACTTTGGTGCGAAAAGTGCAAATCAATCCCAGAACAACAGCAAAGGACCTTATGAAGATGCTGGAGGAAACAGGTACAAAAGTATCTATATCCACAGTAAAACGAGTCCTATATCGACATAACCTGAAAGGCCACTCAGCAAGGAAGAAGCCACTGCTCCAAAACAGCCATGAAAAAGCCAGACTACGGTTTGCAACTGCACATGGGGACAAAGATCGTACTTTTTGGAGAAATGTCCTCTGGTCTGATGAAACAAAAATATAACTGTTTGCCATAAAGACCATTGTTATGTTTGGAGGAAAAAGGGGGTGGCTTGCAAGCCGAAGAACACCATCCCAACCGTGAAGCACGGGGGTGGCAGCATCATGCTGTGGGGGTGCTTTGCTGCAGGAGGGACTGGTGCACTTCACAAAATAGATGGCATCATGAGGAAGGGAAATTATGTGGATATATTGAAGCAACATCTCAAGACATCAGTCAGAAAGTTAAAGCTTGGTCGTAAATGGGTCTTCCAAATGGACAATGACCCCAAGCATACTTCCAAAGTTGTGGCAAAATGGCTTAAGGACAACAAAGTTAAGGTATTGGAGTGGCCATCACAAAGCCCTGACCTCAATCCTATAGAAAATGTGTGGGCTGAACTGAAAAAGCGTGTGCGAGCAAGGAGGCCCACAAACCTGACTCAGTTACACCAGCTCTGTCAGGAGGAATGGGCCAAAATTCACCCAACTTATTGTGGGAAGCTTGTGGAAGGCTACCTGAAACGTTTGACCCAAGTTAAACAATTTAAAGGCAATGCTACCAAATACTAATTGAGTGTATGTAAACTTCTGACCCACTGGGAATGTGATGAAATAAATAAAAGCTGAAATAAATCATTCTCTCTACAATTATTCTGACATTTCACATTCTTAAAATAAATGGTGATCCTAACTGACCTAAGACAGGGAATTTTTACAATGATTAAATGTCAGGAATTGTGAAAAACTGAGTTTAAATGTAGTTGGCTAAGGTGTTTTTTTATTTATTTTACCTTCATTTAACTAGGCAAGTCAGTTAAGAACACATTCTTATTTACAATGACGGCCTACACCGGCCAAACCCGGACGACGCTGGGCCAATTGTGCACCGCCCTATGGGACTCCCAATCACGGCCAGTTGTGATACAACCTGGAATCGAACCGGGGGTCTTTAGTGATGCCTCAAACACTGAGATGCAGTGCCTTAGACCACTGCGCCACTCGGGAGCTATGTAAACTTCTGACTTCAACTGTACATACATACAAAAGTATGTGGATACCCCTTCAAATATGTGGATTTGGCAATTTCAGCCGCACCCATTGCTGACAGGTGTATAAAATCGAGCACACAGCCATGCAATCTCCATTGGCAGTAGAATGGCCTTACTGAAGAGCTCAGGGATTTTTTAACGTGGCACCGTCATAGTATGCCCCCTTTCCAACAAGTCAGTCTGTCAAATTTCTGCCCTGTAAGAGCTGCCCCGGTCAACTGTAAGTGCTGTTATTGTGAAGTGGAAACGTCTAGGAGCAACAACGGCTCAGCCGCGAAGTGGTAGGCCACACAAGCTCACAGAATGGGATCACTGAATACTGAAGTGCGTAAAATCGTCTGTCCTTGGTTGCAACACTCGCTACCAAATTCCAAACTACCTCTGGAAGCACTGTTCGTCGGGAACTTCATGAAATGGGTTTCCATGGCCGAGCATCCGCACACAGGCCTAAGATCACCATGCGCAATGCCAAGCGTCGGCTGGAGTGGTGTAAAACTCGCCACCATTGGACTTTGGAGTAGTGGAAACACGTTTTCTGGAGTGATGAATCCCGCTTCACCATCTGGCAGTCCGATGGACAAATCTGGGTTTGGTGGATGCCAGGAGAACGCTACCTGCCCGAATGCATAGTGCCAACTGTGAAGTTTGGTGGAGGAGGAATAATGGCTCCTGTACGTCGCTCTGGATAAGAGCGTCTGCTAAATAACAAAAATAATAATCATAATAATAATAAAAAAATAAAAATAAAAATATATATATAGAATGGCTTTACAGTCCAGTTCTGCCTAATCTAGGAGACTTAAAATGCAGGTGTTATAGGGAACATCACAGGTTATTTCTATGATATGTAGAAGCTGTGTCTACTGTATGCTACCTCATGAATATGGTGGAGGTACCTTTTCTGGACGTTCTGGTACCTTTTTAAAGATTCTGAAATGTCCTGGAGGGCATGGTGTACTTTACAGGTCTCACTACAACAGCGTTTCCCAAACTCAGTCATCGGGCCCCAAAGGGTCCACATTTAGGTTTTTGCCGTAACACTATACAGCTGATTCAAATTATCAAAGCTTGATGATTAGTTGCTTATTTGAATCAGCTGTGTAGTGTTAGGGCAAAAACCAAAACGTGCACCCCTTGGGGTCACGAGGACCGAATTTGGGAAACCCTGTACTAGAATATACACTGAGTATACAAAACATTAGACTGATCAGGTGAATCCAGGTGAAAGCTATGATCCCTTATTGATGTCACTTGTTAAATCCACTTCAAATCAGTGTAGATGAAGGGTTAAAGAAGGATTTTTAAGTCTTGAGACAATTGAGACATTAATTGTGTATGTGTGCCATTCAGAGGGTGATTTAAGTGCCTTTTGAACTGGGCATGGTAGTAGGTGCCAAGCACACCTGTTTGTGTCAAGAACTGCAACACTGCTGGGTTTTTCACGCTCAACAGTTTCCCGTGTGTATCAAGAATGGTCCACCACCCAAAGGACATCCAATGAACTTGACACAAGTCCATGCCGACTTATTGAGGTTGTTCTGAGAGAAAATTGGGGGGTTGCAACTCAATATTAGGAAGGTGTTCCTAATGTTTGGTATAGTCACTGTATTTCAGTTATAGAATTAACACTGGGGGTCCTTTTCTTTTGTCTTCCTTCTACAGGATTCAGTCTACTCAACAGCTTCAATCTCTGCAGGGACAGTGTCCAGGCATCAACCACCACCACAGTCCTCACCCTCACTACGCAGAGGGACCAAGAGAGGAGAGGGTCATGGCACATATGGCTGTCAATCATGAGCTCATGGCTCAGCAAGAGCCCGCCAACTTAGTGAAAGGTACCCTGGTTCTTTATTCCCACAGAGCTGTATTCAATTAAAATAAGGACATGATCCTCAGTGTATTTATGGCCCGATGGATTTAAAGTTGATTAATTTGTGGGAGAAGTGTTCTATGATGCATTTCCCCACAGATTAAAAACAAATGTCTCATCGACAAATCAGCGTTCATGTGACAGTCGAGGCTAGTGTGAATGTTCACAGCAAGGTGATTGGAAGATCTCTCCCTCTTGCAGCTCCAGCGAAAAAGCGAGGGAGAACGGCACAACCGAAGGAGCCCAAGCCACCCAAAATGCCCAAGCCACCCAAGGAGCCCAAGGAGCCCAAGGCACCCAAGGCCAAACCGGGCCCCAAGCCCAAGAAAGGCAAGGAGGGTCAAGAGGCAGACGGCACGCAGGGGAAAATAGACGAGACCTTCAAGAAGGTCAAGAAGAAAAGGGACCGCTTCAAAGGCATGACTGAGGATGAGGTCATGAGTAGAACTCTGACTGACATCCTTGACTACAACCTGGACTATGTTATCGTGAGTTCAACGCTTTTGTCGCTTTGTGCCAGACAATTATTTTATGATGTGTGCACGACAATGGAGCTACTTGATTTGTCCAATAAGAAATGCTCATTTTCTATTTCAGCTGGAAGACGTTATGTCTTGTGTGCTCTAATGAGCACAACCCGGTAGTATAATGTGCAACTCTTTGTGCAACTTTTTGTTCTAGATTGGAATCAACCCAGGTCTGGTGGCAGCCTATGTTGGACGATGGTTCCCTGGCCCTGGAAACCATTTCTGTAAGTTGCTTTAAGTATATATTCAGTCTCTTACTTTGAAAACATTTACAATCTTCTTCTTGTGGTCCTCTGTAGCTCAGCTGGTAGAGCACGGCGCTTGTAACGCCAAGGTAGTGGGTTCAATCCCCGGGACCACCCATACACAATAAATTGCTAAGCTTTAAATTCAAGGCAATGTTATGTTACTCATGCCAAACAGGATGATGCAGTTGTATGCTTAGTGCGCAGAGCATTAAGATCTTCACCCCAATTTCAGAAAAATAATGGTACAACGAATTAATGAATAGTTATCCTCTTCAGGGAAGTGCCTGTTCTTGTCCGGATTCACTGATGAGCAGCTTAACCACATGAGCGACACCAGCCTGCCAGAGAAATATAAGATCGGCTTCACCAACATGGTGGCAAGGACAACGCCTGGAAGCAAAGACCTCTCAACGTAAGCTTAGGAAGAAAATAATAAAATCCGTCAGTCTGCAATGTGCTAAAGAATAATGAGTGAGATGATAGACATTTCTGTCTCGAACAGTGGCCACACAGCAAGCTGAATTCACATATACTGTAGATGGAATACAATGTATGACTCAACTTATGTTTCTTCACAGCAAAGAGCTACGTGAGGGCGCCTTAATTCTTGTCGAGAAGCTGAAAAAGTACAAGCCACTCATAGCTGTTTTCAATGGAAAATGTAAGTAGCTACATGTATCCCTGCTAGAGGAGAAAACTTCCAGTGGCCAGAACTTTCCATTGAAATTCCATATTAACCATTGAAATACTGTTTATTCTCAGGTATCTATGAAATGTTCTGCAGAGAGATGTTTGGTAAGAAGCCCAAAAAGCTTGACTTTGGTCTGCAGCCACACAAGATACCGGACTGTGAAGTGGTAAGTGTTCTGCTACCTGGTAGTGTGTGTTGTGGTGCTCCAGATACTGTATTTTATGATGAATGGATGATAAAGAAATGAAGAGTTGAAAGAAAACGTACTTCCTGGATAAAGGTATTTTTCACAATAACTGGTCAAAATGTCACCTTTTGACTAAAGATTCAAATCTAACAAAAACTATTTGAAATAGTCAACATTAACTATGATCATTGGCATTGAGCATACAGTGGAAGTACAGTGCCATTTCCCTTTGAAATGACTCATAACCCTGCCCTCGCCCCTACAGGCATTGTATCTGATGCCCTCGTCAAGTGCCCGCTGTGCCCAGTTTCCCCGTGCCCAGGACAAAGTGCACTTCTACATCAAGCTGAGGGAATTGAGAGACCAGCTCAGGGGCGTGGGCAGATCTGACGAGATTCAGGAGTTGGAGTACACCTTTGACCTGGGACTGGCCAAAGGTAAGAGAACGTGCTGCAGTCAGTGCTATAATGAGTATTCAGACATTTGCATAATGTACAGTGAGGGAAAAAAGTATTTGATCCCCTGCTGATTTTGTACGTTTGCCCACTGACAAATAAATGATCAGTCAATAATTTTAATGGTAGGTTTATTTGAACAGTGAGAGACAGAATAACAACAACAAAATCCAGAAAAACGCATGTCAAAAATGTTATAAATTGATTTGCATTTTAATGAGGGAAATAAGTATTTGACCCCTCTGCAAAACATTACTTAGTACTTGGTGGCAAAACCCTTGTTGGCAATCACAGAGATCAGATGTTTCTTGTAGTTGGCCACCAGGTTTGCACACATCTCAGGAGGGATTTTGTCCCACTCCTCTTTGCAGATCTTCTCCAAGTCATTAAGGTTTCGAGGCTGACGTTTGGCAACTCGAACCTTCAGCTCCCTCCACAGATTTTCTATGGGATTAAGGTCTGGAGACTGGCTAGGCCACTCCAGGACCTTAATGTGCTTCTTCTTGACCCACTCCTTTGTTGCCTTGGCCATGTGTTTTGGTTCATTGTCATGCTGGAATACCCATCCACGACCCATTTTCAATGCCCTGGCTGAGGGAAGGAGGTTCTCACCCAAGATTTGACAGTACATGGCCCCGTCCATCGTCCCTTTGATGCGGTGAAGTTGTCCTGTCCCCTTAGCAGAAAAACACCCCCGAAGCATAATGTTTCCAACTCCATGTTTGACGGTGGGGATGGTGTTCTTGGGGTCATAGGCAGCATTCCTCCTCCTCCAAACACGGCGAGTTGAGTTGATGCCAAAGAGCTCCATTTTGGTCTCATCTGACCACAACACTTTCACCCAGTTCTCCTCTGAATCATTCAGATGTTCATTGGCAAACTTCAGATGGGCATGTATATGTGCTTTCTTGAGCAGGGGGACCTTGCGGGCGCTGCAGGATTTCAGTCCTTCACGGCGTAGTGTGTTACCAATTGTTTTCTTGGTGACTATGGTCCCAGCTGCCTTGAGATCATTGACAAGATCCTCCCGTGTAGTTCTGGGCTGATTCCTCACCGTTCTCATGATCATTGCAACTCCACAAGGTGAGATCTTGCATGGAGCCCCAGGCCGAGGGAGATTGACAGTTATTTTGTGTTTCTTCCATTTGAGTGTGCTCCTAATCTCAGCTCGTTACCTGTATAAAAGACACCTGGGAGCCAGAAATCTTTCTGATTGAGAGGGGGTCAAATACTTATTTCCCTCATTAAAATGCAAATCAATTTATAATATTTTGTTGTTATTCTGTCTCTCACTGTTCAAATAAACCTACCATTACAACTATAGACTGATCATTTCTTTGTCAGTGGGCAAACGTACAAAATCAGCAGGGGATCAAATACTTTTTTCCCTCACTGTACATAATTAACACAAGCTACATTATTATGATAAGGGACAGTATGACATTTCATTTTGATATGAAATGAAAATCCATCACAGTCCTGCCCCATCTCAAGGTATTCATAATCACCTGAAGGAGCTGTTTGAAAACTGTCTTGTTTACCAGATAAATTACCAAAAAATACATTGAATTCATTGTTTTTCTCCCCCTTACAGAGGACGCCAAGAGAATGGCGATCAAGGAGGAGGCGTACGACCCAGGCTACGAGGCAGCCTTCGGCGGAGTATACGGCGAGGGCGGGTCCGGGCTTGAGGAGGGCCAGAGCAACGGTCACTAACTTCTCGTCGGCTGTAAACACAGGTCAGCACATAAAGACACAAGGTATGGACCATACAAATATAATGAGAAGTAACTATTTCTATGGTGGGGACTCGTCACAGGACACTTGAGTCGTAAAAGTGGTAGTTAACCCAAACTACGAAAATACTTATGCATCCTCACCTTGAAATGAGTCTAGATGCCACGAGGTATTGTGATCCACACACTGGATTTGTATGTGCCCTGAATTCCTCCTCCTGACTCTGCTGTAGATCTAAAGGGGCTGAATAGGTGTAAGTAATATGGCGGAAATTACATCCAGCCTATTAAAAAGGCATATTTTGCGTATTCCTATCCAATCCCTTCAGATCTACAGAAGTGGCTAGGGGTCGATTTGGAATGCAGGGATAGTATACTATACGCAGTCACATAGAGCCCCACAGTGGGCGTGTCATAAACCCTAGCAGTCAAAACAGGGAAATGGTTCCAATTGTTTTTCCACCATTCACTTTTCCCATAGGGGATTTTAGAAAAAATAATTGCACCCCTTGGGATCCCCAGGACCGGGTTTGGGAAACGCTGAACTACAAGCCAGAGGATGGGTACATTGTTGTTTTGCAGTTCTCATAGAGATTTACACACTTATCAAAACGAAGAAGAAGAAATGGACTACTTTAAAATAGAGAAAGCCCTCAATGGTGCTGCCCATGCTGTCACAGAAGCCGTAATACCACAGATACAAAGAAGCCCGATCTAGCTAGCGACCTCCATGCCTAAAACCCTTAACTACCTGTTCCTAACAATGGGCTCGAGGTAGCATGCTCAAATGACCTCACCTCAGAGCTTTAAAGGTATTTTCTTCTAATTTCAGACGCTGCCAAGAAGGCAAACACTTACCAACCTCCTACGGCCGCCACCACCACAGAGGGACAACTCCCAGACAGACAGTGGATGATAAAGTCTTTCACTGATCAGATTCTAGACATTGGTGGCTCTAAAGAACCACAGGCATGGGCGGGCAATGTATAAGAAAGGGTAAATGGCTCCTAACGAGCCCTATCTAGACGTGCACAGACCTCAACCCCACACATCCTTTACCCTCCCTTCAACAAGAAGCTGCACCTCAGTTTGAAGACTGAAATGATAGTTTTTTAATGATTTTTAACATTTTTAATGGATTTTTTTGCCGAGTAGGGATATACACTTGACTAGTTGATAGATGGAATTGTCTAAATTGATCATTTTTAAAGGATTTGTGGAATATTAGCTTTTTGATCTGGTTTTGTCATACCGTGTGTTTGATTGCCCGCAAGGCAGTCTTTTAAATATGTGAAATCAGGGATTTGACAATTTGTTGTAAACTGTACTTTGCCACAGGCTGCCACAGTAGGTATAAGCAAAGCATGAATACTGTATTTGTTAATGCTCTGACTGACAGTACAAATGGCCCTAAATCAAACTTTTACACACAGGTCAAACAGTCCTAAATGAACCTGTGGCAAAACACATACAGTAAGATGATACTGTAAGTAATGCATTGTGAAGTTTAGGATTAGCTAGTATTCTACTTTTATAAATTCTGTACCTTGAGGAGAACAGGTACTGAGTGATATGTGAACGAACTTGACACATGGTCAAAAAGTGATTCCACAGAGGGCAATGTCTTCACAAGCCTTTTATCATGGAGTTGCAATACTCAAGATGGGTGCTATATATTTTATTTTGCTTTATCTTATATTTAGTATGTTTCTGAAAATGTTGATAAAATTATGGGGATTTTCTATTTTACTTGACATTGTTATTTTTTTTACTTTGCAGCCTGAAAAGATAGTATCAGGTAATATTGTTTTGTAAGAGTTCTGAAGGTGTGTTTATTAAAAACCTTGTCTCTAGCCTTCGTTCTGTTAGCAGGTCAATAAATTCTCTTCTGTTGCATCCTGAATGACTAAACCCTGGGTCGTCTTCATAAAAAAACTAAAAAAAATGTTTTTAAATGATTTGCAACGGATACGAAAAATGAGTTTTGGACAGGATGTCCCTTCCGGTTTCAATCAGTGTTTTCCCCCGTTTGGTGCCTAATGAACATGACCCTGTTCTTTCTTCCCTTTTTCCACATTTTGTTACATTACAGCCTTATTCTATAATTGATTAAATACATTTTTTTCCTCAATCTACACACAATACCCCATAATGACAAAGCGAAAATAGGTTTAGACATTTTTGCAAATTTATTAAAAATAAAAAAACATCTTATTTACATAAGTATTCAGACCCTTTGCTATGAGGCTCGAAATTGAGCTCAGGTGCATCCTGTTTCCATTGATCGTCCTTGAGATGTTTCTACAACTTGATTGGAGTCCACCTGTGGTAAGTTCAATTGATTGGACATGATTTGGAAAGGCACACACCTGTATATATAAGGTCCCACAGTTGACAGTGTATGTCAGAGCAAAAACCAAGCCATGAGGTCGAAGGAATTGTCCATAGAGCTCCGAGAAGGGATTGTGTCGAGGCACAGATCTGGGGAAGGGTACCAAATCATTTCTGCAGCAACTTCTTCCATTCTTAAATGGAAGAAGTTTGGAACCACCAAGACTCTTCCTAGAGCTGGCCACCCGGCCAAACTGAGCAATCGGGGGAGAAGGGCCTTGGTCAGGGAGGTGACCAAGAACCTGATGGTCACTCTGACAGAGGTGGGAGAACCTTCCAGAAGGACAACCATCTCTGCAGCACTCCACCAATCAGGCCTTTATGGTAGAGTGGCCAGACGGAAGCCACTCCTCAGTAAAAGGCACATGACAACCCGCTTGGAGTTTGCCAAAAGGCACCTAAAGGACTCTTAGACAATGAGAAACTAGATTCTCTGGTCTGATGAAACCAAGATTGAACTCTTTGGCTTGAATGCCAAGCGTCACGTCTGGAGGAAACCTGGCACCATCCCTACGGTGAAGCATGGTGGTGGCAGGACCATGCTGTGGGGATGCTTTTAATCGGCAGAGACTGGGAGACTAGTCGGCATAGAGGTCCTTGATGAAAACCTGCTCCAGAGCGCTCAGGACCTCAGACTGGGGCGAAGGTTCACCTTCCAACAGGACAACGACCCTAAGCACACAGCCAAGACAACGCAGGAGTGGCTTCGGGACAAGTCTCTGAATGTCCTTGAGTGGCCCAGCCAGAGCACGGACTTGAACCCGATCAAACATCTCTGGCGAGACATGAAAATAGCTGTGCAGCGACGCTCCCCATCCAACCTGACAGAGCTTGAGAGGATCTGCAGAGAATAATACAAGTGTGCCAAGCTTGTAGCGTCATACCCAAGAAGACTCAAGACTGTAATCACTGCCAAAGGTGCTTCAACATAGTACTGAGTAAAGGGTCTGAATACTTAAGTAAATGTGATATTTCAGTTTTATTTGTTTATTTTATTTTTGAAAAAATGTCGTAACCTGTTTTTGCTTTGTCATTATGGGGTATTGTGTGTAGATTGATGAGTGAAAAAAAACGATTTAATCAATTTCAGAATAAGGCTGTAACGTAACAAAATGTGGAAAAAGTCAAGGGGTCTGAATACTTTCCAAATGCACCTGTAGATGTAACAGTATGTCAGAAGTTATAATACATTAGTCTTTACGCCAGTGGTGAAGTTACAGCAGGATCCCATGTCACAACTGCGCTAGATTAGGGTTGAAATGGCTACAAGCTACTTCACCTTTAAGGTTTTGTATTGGTTTATTTTTTGTGACCAATGTGAATTTAAATAAAGAATAATTTTGGCAATTGTAATTAAATTGGTTACTTACTGTACATGTTATCCTTGTAAAGAGACTAAGGCTGGGATTCAATCAGAAACCAAGCTATAGTGGCTTGACATTTTAAAGGACATTCCTAAAATGAATCTGACATCTGCAGCGTTTACCTTGAATGCGATCTGTGAACGCAGTAACATTGCCTTTAAAAGCAGCAATGCCCACAAGTGCGATAGGTATATTCAGCGAAATTACATTGCCACGACCAGCACCACAGATATTGAAATGAGCGAGATGCAATACTTAGCTCTCACACAGTATCGGCGCATGAGCATGGGTTCGCTTCACGCTGTTCACAGCGTGGTAGCCAGGGCACCAAAACAGCGGAGAAGTTGAACCTCACGCTTCAACGCTCTTAGTTTTGGAAATTGACCCACTATGCTCTTTACTTTCTGCATCTACGTCATATTGCTGAGTCTACCTTTAATTAATGTAGATGTACAGTGCCTTCAGAAATAATTCACACACACTTTTTCCACATTTTGTTGTGTTACAGCCTGAAGTAAAAATGTAATTGAGATTTTGTCACGGGTCTTCACACCATACCCCATAATGTCAGTTGTAGTATGTTTCTAGATTTGTATACAAATTAATTAATAGTGAAGCTTTTGTCTTGAGTCAATAAATATTCAACCGCTTTGTTATGGCAAGCCTAAATAAGTTCAGGAGTAAAATAACGACGCCTATTAATAGATAAAAAAAGAAAAGAAGAAGCCGACGGAATATTCCTTTGCGTATGGTGTTATTAATGGCACTTTGGATGGTGTATCAATACACCCAGTCACTACAAAGATATAGGCGTCCTTTCTAACTCAGTGGCTGGAGAGGAAGGAAACCGCTCAGGGATTTCACCATGAGGACCAATGGTGACTTTAAAACAGTTACTGAGTTTAATGGCTGTGATAGGAGTAAACTGAGGATGGATAAACAACATTGTAGTTACTCCACAATACTAACCTAAATGACAGAGTGAAAAGAAGGAAGCCTGCACAGAATAAAAATATTCCAAAACATGCATCCTGTTTGCAATAAGGCACTAAAGTAATACTGCAAAAAAAAATGTGGCAAAGAAATTAACTTGGGGCAAACCCAACAAATCACTGACCACCTTTAACATGCACCCCAATATCCCGTTATTATTTTGGGATAGTAAAGTATTCTGTTTTTGAATTGCTGCATATAAACATTATATCCGTTTACAATACCCCGAAAAAGCATATATCCCGGTTATGAGAAGCCTGGGATATGCTGATCTTTGGGATACTGGGGCATGTAAACATCTTATCCCGTTTACTGTTGTTTTTCACTGTCTGTGCAGGCTCAGTTTCGCATATCATGGGTGTTGTGATGTTTTCATCTGATTGTCAAACAAATCACTTCAAGAAGTAGGCTACCTGCACAGTTCAATCCACCATAATAATGTATTTAGCTGATACTCTCACCCCTAATTTAGACACATTTCTGCTTATAATTTTCAACATTTGGTAGGCCATATTATAATTTCAGACATATGGTAGGCCATTTGTTTGTCAACTATAGTTAGATACATGCAGCTTCTCTTCTGTCATTACTTGTTGCCCCAGAAGACTAAATAAAGTAGTGCTCACCAGAATAATGTCTTACATCGATAGAATTAATGCATTAGTAACCTAGTTAACACCAGTAAAGTTGTCTGTTTCGTTTAGGGACCGGGGAGAAAATGCAATAATTTAAAAACAGTGGAAACCATGTATAAGGAAATGAAAAGCTGAGAAAACTATTAAACATTTCTGATAAGAGTTCAATTAGTCTTGGGTGCATATTTTATGTGGTTGAAATATTGTCTGCTTATATAACAGCATCAAAGATAACAGTTACATGGCCATTAGCATTTTCTCAAGAGATGCTGAAAGAAAAAAAATCTTATTTCTCCACTCCTGTTCCTGAGATAAAATGAACATTTGTTGTATAATTTTACTGCAAGAAATGCATAATTCTGCAGGAGTTCATATTATATTAGGCTACATGTGAGAGGTTATGTCCAGATTTCTGTTACTATTTAATTTAACCCATATTAATTTAAATTAGGAGTATTCTGTTTATTCACGGTTACAAGGATACTGCCAAAGGTGATTCTTATGTCATTCAGACTGTTTTGAAGTTGATACAACCGGCTATGATAGCTGAGGTTCATAGCTAGGTTCTGAACTAATATTTATATCAAACGTTTTAGGGTCCATACACAGATCGGCTACATAGCTAGCTACATATCCATAGGCATACAGGTATATTTATCCTCCACTGCACAATAAGCAAGAAAATAGTTAGCTTGCTACATTACTTCAGCTGCATTGCATTGCATAGCAAATATCAGCAAGGCAAGCTTACAAAATTGTACATTCCATTTGCAGTAGCTAAATGCATTAGCTAGCTAGATTCTTCACATCCACTGTGTCGTAGTAAATATAATTTGTTATAGATTGGTCTGACTAAAATGTTGTGCAAGACCAATTTGTGTTAGGAGCCTGTTTTTAATAAATGCTGCCACTGAAGGTCAGAGAACAAAGGACAGAGGAGAACACCATATCTTGTCACCAGATGGCCTAGTCTTGCAGGAGTGCAATAACAGGACAACACCCACGCCCAAGGCCACAATCACCAGATCCTCACGAGTTCCCTGGACACACACAAACATTTCATTTGCACGCACACTCATACTCAACTCCCCTGTCTACTGGTCGGGTGCCAAGGGCAGAGGACTCTGCCGTGCACCAATGGGGCTTCTACTCTGGACAGAGCAGACCCGCCTCCTACGCCTCGGGAACCAATCAAGGGACTAGAAGAAGGACCCCTTCCTTTATGTTACATTGTATAAAGTAATGCTGAAAACTCTGTTTAAACACCCTTCTCAACTGTCTCCATAAGAGGCAATTGGTTGGGTCCATGCATGTAGCTTGAGCAGGACAAGATCTCTCTGTTTTAATAAACTGCCTTTTTGCATTAAGCAAATTCCTC